TCACTGAAAATGTAGGCGATTGTCAGTGCCACTGCTGCTGGTTGCCCTCCAGAACTTGATAGCAAGATTCTGCTGCTCAAGACAACACACGATTTGATTGTAGAAAGAGAAATCATGCTGGAACTGAGCTGGGAGCTTCCTCCATCCTGGCTAGCTTTCCCAGTGCCAGATGCTATGCAGGCTGCTGAGAGACAAATGTTGTCAGCAGTCTTACTTAGCTGTGGACCCCATGTGCTACACTACTGGCATGCCAGGCAAGATGTGCCCTCTGGTATAGAGGTGGTGTTACTGCTGTGGGGTAAACAACTGCTTTCTGGGTGGATTTGAGACTATTCCACACGAGGGAGTTCAAGTCTAGCATTGTAAATCTGGTCAAAAGCCAGAAATCAAAAGCTGGGGCAGTCAACAGGCCCTAGCAGTGAAGCTACTGGTGGTGTTTCCTAGATGGACATGCTGTGCCTGTCAATCGCCTTCTAAATATTTATGTTATGCTCACAGATTAGTGCTGTCAGCTCTAGTTAGAGGGATTTCTTTATGCAGTGGGCAGTAGTTACTGCTGAGACTCATAATAGGTCAAATAGGTGTGGAATGCTCAGCTCTAGACAGGTCATCTGTGTCATCCGTTTCTTTATGCAGTGGGCAGTAGTTACTGCTGAGACTCAGGTCAAATAGGTGTGGAATGCTCAGCTCTAGACAGGTCATCTGTGTCATCCATTCCCAGGCTCAGAAAACAACATAGAAGAGAAGACAGACAGAATACAAGAGCCAGAGAAAGGGGAAGAGTGCTGTGGAACACTCTTCTGGGCATGGCATGGCTACTGCATTCTTAAACTCCAGTTGTGACTTCCTGCATAGCACTGGGCCCATCCACATTATCGTGGGAAGAGAGGGACTCATAGCCCCTGCTCCTCCCTGAGGATTTATAGACAGTTAATGGTTGTTGGAGGGAAGGAGCTCATGAGGCCCCACCCTTCCCTGAAGATCTATAGAGGAAGAGACATTTTTTTCAGTGGCAGGTAAATTGCCCATGCCCCTGTAGAAAACCCTGCAACTCTTCACCCATGTTCTGTGTAAGTAGCCTTAATTAAACTCATTAATTCACACAAATAAAGACATGAAGTAGAAAGGGTACTAGTTGGGAAGAAAAAGGGGACCAGCAGGAAGAGAAAGAATTTTATGTATAGAAATGACATAATGAAACCTGTTATGCATAATTAACATATACCAATGAGAAACTTTTAAAATGTAAAGTATTTAAAGATGGGAAAAAATTAATGTTTATTGTTTATAATAGCTGGCATCAAAGTTTCAAAGTTAGCTCTTTGTGTTGCTGTATATAAGGTCCTGGCTACTAAACAAAGTACATGGACACTATGAAACTTAAAATATTAACACTGCTTCTGTAATTACTACACCATTTAATTATTTGTGTAAATTACTATGAAAGGTAGCACATGCCAGTAATAAGATCATAATCTCTTAGTGTTAGGCCTAGGTCTAAATCTAACGTTTTTCTATGACCTGGGAGAAAACACATTTTCTTGCCTCTGTCTCTTCCCAATGTCTTTTGATATCAAGTCCTGGTGGGATTGCAATTACCCACCATGAGTACAGAGCAGAGAACAACTTACCCTTTACAAGGATTCATGTTATACAAGTTTCTATTCACAAAGCATTTTACACTTGTCCTAGTTTGTTTTCCATTACTGTGATAAAACACTGGCCAAAACCAAGTTGGGGAGGGAAGGGGTTAATTTTACCTTTCAGTTTACAGTTCCTTATCAAGGGAAGCAAAGGCAAGAACTCCAGGCAGGAACCTGGAGACAGGAACTAAAGCAGAGACATGGAGGACCGCTGCTTACTGCCTTGCTCCCCCTGGCTTACTCAGCTACTTTTTGTTACAGTCCAGGCCTACTTGCCTAGGGATGGTACCATCCATGCTGGGCAGGGCCCTCCCGCATCTACCAGTAATCAAGAAAATGTCCCACAGACATGCCCACAGGACAGTCTAGAGGAAATTCTTCAGTTGAGGTTCCCTCTTCCCAGGTGTCTCTAGTTTGTGTCAAGTTGACCAAAACTAACCAGCACAACACTTAACACACGCAGTCTTATATTCCTTTCTTACTAAACACCTATTATGTACTAGGGCCTATGTTAGGCTCTAAATATATAGCAGGAAACACAATACTACATATATAGAGCTTACATTGTATAGACCAGAGTATATACGTAGCTTTGTGTATGTATACAATCAGGTCGGTAAAAGTTCCTTAAAGATGAGGTTAAGGGACAGAGTGATAGGCAGGCAAAACAAGATCTGCTGTTTTCCATTAAGGTTCAATGAAGCCTTCTCTAACAAGATAACATTTGGACAGAGATTAGAGAGGAAGCCATGCATATAGATTAGCTGGGAAAAAAGAATACCCATGGAGTATAAACTACAAGGTAAGAATGTATCTGATTTCTTGTGTGACAGAGAAGTGCCATAACTACAAGAATGCAGATAATGAGTCACAGGCAACAAAGAGACCAAAGGCACGTAAAGCCTGATTGCATAAGGTCTTGTAGGTCATGGAAAGTAAGGCTCACTCTGGGTATTATATGGATGCAGGATAGCCACTGCCAGTAGAGGATGTTTCTCAAATCTGAGTCACATCAGAATGACTGGATTTGGCTAGTGAAAAGCACAGATACCAAAAACCGTGTAGCTTTAACAGCTAAAAATTAAGACCCTAGATATATTGTCCATGTGTATCTACATCATGAACTGCTATTCAGCAACATAAAGGAATGAACTATTGATACATATAGCTTACATAAATGTAGAGAATTAAGCTAAGTAGAAAAACTCAATCCCCCAAAGTTATTCAGTTTATATGATTTTTAAATGAAGATTATAAAAATACAAAACAGATTACTGGTTGCCAGAGGTTACAGAAAGGAGTTGAACAGTTATCTGTTAAAAGGGGAAAATCCTTGAGCGACCCTTATGCTAGAGGTGATCTGCCTTGACTGATCAATGTCAACAACCTGATATTATTCCATAAACTTTAGGAAGGTGTTACCACCATGAGAAACTGGATAAAGCTAGACCTTTCTCTATCTTTGAGAGTACTGGTGATCAGACCTAGGACCTCATGCATGCTAGGCAAGTGCTTTACCAATTGCACTAAAAGCCCATTCTTATAACTGAATGCAACTCTATAACTTCCTCGAAATAGTAAATACAATATAGAGTCACTGTTCAAGAAAAGACATACCCACTCTCACTTTAAAATCTTCTGTATAAATCTTCAAGGTAATCCTGAAAGAACACAAAACCAGATGCTTACTAGCCTTGTTACTGTTTTATCAAAGTAAGACACCTGCCACAGCTTTACTTCCTCAATTCCAGAAACCCTTCGTGACAAAAGAAAACGAACACCAAAATACTAACAGAATAGGAATTCACTTACAGCACACTTAACAGAAAGGAATGGGGGGGAAAGAGCCACAAACTGAAGCAGTTCTATAGGACTTCAGAACTGCTTGGTTTTTTAGCAAAATAATATTCAACTAAATTCAGAGACGTTGAAGCACTTCTGTGCTTGACAAAAATGGTTTCCTGCAGTCAACTCTCAAGAACTCCATTTAAAATAAAATCACCTTATGCAATAAGCCTCCAATTTTGTCTCCACGGTACATGTAACAAAATTTAAGGAAACAGACATACCTAGACAAGAGGTATTTATATTATTTTTTTAAATTAATTTTATGTGTATGCGTGTATTGCCCCATGTTGTGCAATGCCTGTAAAAGTCAGAAGAGGCTGTCAGATCCCCTGGGACTGGAGTTACAGTTGTTAGCTGCCATGTGGGTGCTGGGATTCGAACCTGGGTCTTCTGCAAGAACCACCAGTGTTCTTAACCACTGAGTGATCTTTCCAGCCCCCAGAATACTTTATTTCGTAATCATAGTCCAGAAAACATTCACAAATGATCACCTAAGAAATCACTCACAAATGATCGTTCTCTGTTTAAACACTGGATGTTTAAAACAATCATGGCTCAGTGGTTAAGAACACTGGTTGTTCTTGCAGAAGACCCGGGTTCGAATCCCAGCACCCACATGGCAGCTAACAACTGTCCGTAACTCCAGTCCCAGGGGATCTGACTACCTCTTCTGTCCTCTGTGGGCGTTGCACAACATGGGTGCACTTACCTATATGCAGGCAATACACACATACACATGAAATAAAACATTCAGTCAATGGGCCCATCTGAAATGCCATAGCTTGCTTTAGCTTCTACCTCATTTCATTAATTATAACTCTCAAGCTAAGTTATTTTATTAGATTTAAAAAAAGCTAAATAATAAAGCTGGCTTTAAATACAGTGAAAACTAGTTGGGCAAGCCTTTAATCCCAGCACTCAGGAGGCAAAGGCAGGCAGATCTATGAGTTCAAGGCCACCTTGGTCCACATAGCCAGTTCCAGGCCAGCTGGGGCTACAGGGAGACCCTCTCAAAATGACCAAAACACACACCACACAAACAGTGGTGCAGGCCTATAATCCTAGTACTAATGAAGGCAGCAGAGTGGCAAGTTCAAGGCCATAGGCTATATGGCAAGACTGTCCCAAAAACACAGGTAAAAATCTCAGGAAACTGAAAACTAGCTCCATTAGCTGTCCTTTCTTCTACCAGAAGTACCACTCTGCTGTAGTGTATGGCCTTTTCTCTGGCCACATCTACTTTACTATCCCCCAAGGAAAATTCTAGACTCATAGTTAACCTACAAATAATACGTCAGACACAAATCCACAATGCCACTCCCATCCCCTAACAATGCAGACACTAAAAGTCCCACTTCCGACAGTCAGAACTGAACTTCACTACAGAACAGGCCAGGTTGGCACAAACGGAATCATTTCCATTCCTACTACGTAAGAACGCTTCCCAAGAGGTTAGGAGTTCACCACAAAGGAAAGTGGAATTCAGTTGAGAAAATGAACAGCTGGGAATTCATTTGGAAATGTTTTTACTTTTTAAAGCAGTATTCAAACACACACAGACTCCCCGTTCTGAAAAAGTAATAAAAGGCTAAATTTTTATCCGACAGTCCCAGCACACTCAATTCAAAACAGGCTCATGGTGATCCACAGAGATGGCTCAGTGAGTAAAGGCATCTGTCACCAAGCAGGATCCACATCATGGAAGGAGAGTCAACTCCTGGGGTAGGCTGTCTTCCGACTTCCATACTTGAGCTCAATCACACAGCCATACCTGCCAACAACACGAGAGAGAGAGAGAGAGAGAGAGAGGAGAGAGAGAGAAATGTAAAAAAAAATTTAAAGACTCAAGACATAACATTGTTAAAAACATTTATTTTGATAGTCTATCATGAGTCAGTAGAGGTTCCACTTTGCCACAGACGCATGTGAGAAGAGCACATGTCACTGATGACTGTCTGAATGATGTCTCATTTCTTATTCAGCCAGAGCACACACCTTCCACGCTGAATTGCTTCCAAGTCCAGATGACCAAATGGTCCTTCATCCCCAAAGTAGGCTAAAATGTTTGTGAAGAGGAAAAATAAATTAAACATGGAAACAAAAACCTTCTAAACACAGTTGAATGACTGGGCTTTATACATATTTGTGTTTGTCCGTCTATTAAATTCAGTTACTAAAAGACAAGGATCCATCTCATTAGGCAAAAATAAACAAATAATTATGAAATTTAAAAATCGGATATATAGAACTATATTTAAAGAAAGTTTTGTTACTTTTGAGTGGGGTTACCTATTAGAAATATTTAAGATATATGTAAAATAAAATAAGGAAAACTGAAGTTATATAAAAAATAATCTTCTTTAAGGGAGTGACTCTAAATAGGCTGACTAGACCTCAGTGGATGAACTTGTATCATTGAGAGGGTACACTAACTTAACTTGATAGGATAGGCCTTAACATAAATGACAGAATGCATGAAATCCAGTGGCCGGGGGGGGGGTGGTGTAATGGGAGAGGGGGCATTCAGATGATTAAGATATAGTGTATGAAATAAACAAAAATTCAATAAGAAATATACAAAAGTTGTTTTTGCTACAAAATAAAAGGTAAATGATTAGTGAATTTCATCAATTAAATAGACCAGGGAACCCAAATAAAACTGTATCAATATTAGATATAACACCAATTTTAAAAAAAAGATTTACTAAATATTTTCAGTCAGACTCTGTGGGAAAACCCAGCACAACTCCAACTTCAAAGTTATAGAAATTCAGACACTGAAATGGTTATATGCTCTAGGGGAAAAGTGGGATGTGACCTAAACACTTAACCTTAAGTGACCCATTTCCCTAGAAACAATTAGCTACCACTTCCACTTCAACAATTCTTAACCCAAACATTTCATTCATGAATTGGTCCAACTCCCATATCTCCCACAGCTTCCACTTAACTGGAAGCAGCAGGATCCAAGAAAGAAAAAAAGTGCTTCATGTCTAAATCTTAGAGATTAAAAATGTGATTTCTAGACCAACTGAATAAAATTGCACTACAAAATGATGAGGTTCTGTAGTTTATTTTTAAATATTATCTTCTCTATGCCTAGAAAAAACAACATGCATCTACTCTTACTTATCAAATGTGTATTGAAGTCTCCCATTATTCCCAAGTACTTTTTAAAAAAATTTTATGTGTATGAGTATATTGCCTACATGTAAGTGCACCCATGCCATGCAGTGCCCACAGAGATCAGAAGTGGGTGTCAGATCCCCTGGAACTGGAGTTATGGACAGTTATTAGTTGCCATGTGGGAACCAAACCTGGGTCCTCTGCAAAAGCAGTCAGTGCTCTTAACCACTGGGCTCTCTCTCTAGCCCCCATCCCAAGTACTTTTGCATATAATTACAAACTCTTCACCCATTCATATCTCTTTCTCAGTGGAATGAGCATGGCCTTACAGAGAGAACAAGTGATTCTGTTAGTTAACTTATTGCCTTACTAATTTTTAGCTGGGTGTGATCACTTATGCCTGTAGTCCTAGAACATTCCAGACTGAGGGAGCAGATGCCTCAGCTTATCTGACATCAGCAAAGGCATATAGCTTATTCTTACATTAGCATGCAGAATCATGTAGTTAGAAAACTGCTCTGATAAGAAAGCCAGGATAAGCCAGGCGTGGTGGTGAACGCCTTTAATCCCAGCACTTGGGAGGCAGAGGCAGGTGGATCTCTGTGAGTTCAAGTCCAGCCTGGAATACATAGTGAGTTCCAGGACAGCTGGGGCTACAAGGAGACCCTGTCTCAAAAAGACCAAAAAAAAAAAAAACCAGGATAAAAGAGATGACAGAGCAAAGATTAAAAGTTACTATTAATAGTTTATTCATCTTATTACTTGGCAAGTACTATTAACATTTTCATACAATATTGTTATTCAATTTTCATGACAACCTCATTTTAGTAGATATGCGCAAATTATAAAAAAAGGAGCCACAGTTTAAAAGGTGTCTTAGGGCTGGAGAGATGGCTCAACGGTTAAGAACACTGGTGGTTCTTGCAAAAGACCCAGGTTTGAATCCCAGCACCCACATGGCAGCTAACAACTGTCCATAACTCCATTTCCAGGGGACCCAACAGCCTCTTCTGACCTCCACGGGCAATGCACGACATGGGTGCACTTACCTACATGCAGGCAATACATGCATACACATAAAATAAAAATAATAAATAAAAATTTTTTTAAAAAGTTTAAAAATGATGTCTTCAGGAAACGTATTTGATACTTCCAGTGTTGGAGAAAGTGCTCAAGCACCTTGATCCAGGAGTGCCAACCATAATAAAATGTATCAAACTAAGGTTTCCCTAAGGAAATAATTGGTTTATTAACCCAATCTCCATTTTATAGGAAAGGAAATGCACAGTTCAAGGAACCAAGGCTAAGAAAAAAGGAACTTAGAGGGGAAGCTGTAAAGCAGGTTTAAGAAGCCATACCATGAAGTGCATGCCTGTAATCACAGCACTCAGGAGCCTGAAACAGGATTCTGGATTCAAGGCCAGCTTAATCTACACAGTGAATTCAAGGCCAGCTAGGTCTACAAGGTGAATTCAAGGCCAGTTTGGGATACACAGCAAAAGATCTTGCTCAACTCCCACAAAATAATAATATTATTAATAGTAATAATAATAAATAATAAATAAAAAGAAGCTATGTCATAAAGTACTGAAGGAAGAGAAGGAAGCAGAAAAAGGAAAAAGTGAGTAAAGATTACCTATGAAGACTTTTATTAGGAAAACCAGTAACTGCACACTGGGCAGTTATATATATAACATAGTAAATAAAAATTTAGAAGGGGGGTGGGGAGAAGTCCAAGCTAGACTGGCCCACAATTTTTTTCCAACAGCCCAAGACTACACTGGTAAAGTTACATGTCATCTTCTTCACAATGATTCAATACTAATTAATATCTGAGCATTTGTCTCAAGTTGACATGTAAGAACAATACCTTATAACTGATGGCTCAGGCATTCCAGGATCTGCACCCCTCGTAAATCCTGAAGACAGAAAAAGGAATACAAGCTTTCAAATAAAGTAATTAGAAGTACAGCAGACAAAAAGTCTATAATCAAGACTCTAAGTCCAATCTAGGTTAGCTACCTCAAGACTTGTGGTGATCAAGAGTTCCAATTTTTAGCAGACTCATCAGTAGAAAAGACAAGCTATCTTATTTCTACTGTACACACCTGGCACAGTAGCTCTTAACATTATATTCAACTTTTCATTCAGTTACTACCCAGAATATATTACCACAACTCCCAAGTCATACTAGATGAAAGACTAAGAAGAGCTTAAAAATTAAGGAAAATTACACCCTTTTAAAAGCATAATTGAGGATATCTTACCATCTTATACAAGCTACTTTAGAAAGACTATATAAGTACAAAGGAGGGGGAAATCATTTAACAACCTGTTCAAATAAACATACTCTAAGTATGACTAAATAAAACTATTTAAAGTTTTAAACTCATTTGATGATATATAAGCTAATTTTCTGACTTAATGGTTAAAATATCAAGAACCGAAAGGGGCTGGCTGAGGTGGCTAGCTCCTGAAAATCCAAGGTAGGAAAGTTCCAAGTTTAAGAAAAAAGGAAAAAGGCCACATACCAAGAACCGTGAGCGATATGAAATTGTACTCTATTTTCAAGCAACAAACTAGTCTGCCAGTTTTCAGACACTGGTAGAAGACAAAAGATTCTGGGCCAGTCATAAACAAAAGAGTTTACTATTCCCATCAATAGCTTTAGGAGTATCATTTTTGCTTCAGTAACCTAAGACCCAATGCAAAGCCCCAAGCAAAGACAGCCAGACAGCACCTGCACAATGTACAGGATATGATCCCTGAGTTTAGGCAAGCACACTCCTTTAGAATGAGCTATATGCATGTCTCTAGAGAGAGGCACTATTTTCCAAAGCTGTTTGTTCTATGAATGTCCTAAAAGCTAATGTTGAAAATAGAGTCATCAGAGCTCAGAAGAACTAGAGAAAGGTAAGAGACTACAGAGAATTATCTTGCAGTTGGTGGTTCATTA